TCTTGCTCCTTCCTCCCAGGAGGGACACTTCCTTGTGATCTGGTTACTCTCATCATATTTGCTTTGTTTATATCAACTTACTGTTCACAGAGGTATTTGTACTTCGGTTATATTTATTAAGGTATGTTGCTGTGAAGTATTAACAATGAAGGGTTATCACAGCATGGAGGTTTATGAAGAAGGAAAAATGTTCTTCAGATTTTTAAAGAAGATAGTAATTCTCAGTACATTCAGGTGGGTCTCTGACACTGATTTCTGAGGACTTGAAACAACACCTGACGTGTGTGAAGTCTTGTTATCTTCCACACCAAATTTCAGTAGCCTTCTGGGACACCAAATTACCAATAGAGCAGAAGACATGATACAGTGGTTAGGTGTGCAGCTTTTAGAATAATAATTTAGAAAGATGATAATGACTAAGTCTATTTGCCTCAAAGCCTTATATAATTTACCAGATAAAGTTTACCGTTTTTCTTCTCAGATCCCCAAAAGTATGTATTTGACAGACACCCTATTCTAAACATTATTTTAATTTTTTGTTTTAAAAAAAAAAAAAACCCGCAAAGCTCATTACTCCTGAGTGATAAAGGAAAGATTCAGGTACTATGAAATTATGGTAGGAAGGGGCTTAAGAAAAAGAAAAATAAGAAACGAATAGTCAGATGAGGAAAATACTCTCTCAAAATGGAACTCTTTGCTAAGAGCCACAGATGCAATACCTTGAACCTCAGGAGAGCTTTAATTAGTCCAGCTCTTTCTTCAGCGCATGCTCAGAAGCTCTGGCGCGGACTGTAAATTAGGGCAAGGAAATCCAGCAGGGGCCTGGGTGGGTTAAGGGGGAAGGGCAGGATCTTAAAGGGGCAATGACCATTTAAAAGAGCAATGCTGGTCTGTGCCACCATTCCTGTCCTAGGCCCGGCAACCCACCACTACCAACCCAGTTCCACCCTCCGTGTTCCCTACCTTAGTTAATAGTACCTCCATTTTCCCAGTCATCAAGGTCAGAAACATAGGAGTCATTCCTGATTTCTCTTTTGCCTGTGCAAAATGCAGTTATATCAATTTTTGAAATTTTACTTTAAATTTGACTTCACTTCTCCATCTTTATTATTACTGTTCTGGTTTAAGCTCTCAGGTTCTCATTGGTTCTTGCCTGGGCCATTAGAGCAGTGTTTCAACTGGTGTTACATGCTTTTAACACTGCTGCCAAGTCATCTTTTAAAAATCATACCAACTCTAGCTTAAAACTCTTCAGTGGTTCTCTATCACCTGTAGGAGATAGAGAGCTCCTTAGCACTGCATACCTGGCCTCCATCAACCCATCAGATCTCATTTCTGACAATCCACAGGTTGTACTTTCTGTTCTCACACTAGCCAACTTCTTTAAGCATATATGTCCATATATGTCTAATACAAGATGAATTAATATATAAACTTTTCAGAAGATGAAATAACCCAATTTCTACCTAACAGTTTATTAAGTTAGCTATATCATATGAATATTAATTTATAGTTTTTCCATTCCCCCTACATCATGATGTCAAAGAAAAATTTTCAAAAGTTAAAACTATGACTTTCTTACCAATAGTGAATGAACCCATGTCAAAGATTTTATTTTAACTGATGAAAGAACCAGTACTCTGGAAAAGCTGGTGCTAAGAACAGTTGAGGAGCTGGTAATTTCTAAAAAAAAAAAAAAAAAAAAAAGCATGTTAAAAGAGGATTTCTAGATCTGTACAAAACAAGTGAATGTTTTATACAGTAATGAAGTAATAGGTTATCTTTTCTATTGAACATAGTCGTTTACATCTCTACAAAAAAAAAATCTACAAATTTACATGGAACTGCACAGTATCTGGACTCTAATTTGTAGTAAATACAAAAGTTAAACACAGGTAAATTCTCTTAGAGAATTAAGTAATCCTAGGGTGGACCTGTTAAACGATGCTTCATTACTACATTGAAAGGACACACAGTCCTCTTCTTGCTTTCTTATTATTTCCAAGTGCAGGCTAATTTTTCTTAACAATAGAAGTTTTTTAATAAAACACTTCACATGAATCTTCTCCATCAATGTTTTAGCACCACAACAGTAACTTCTTGAGTCACCTAACAAAGTTTTCTGGAATATAACATCTTTATGCCCTCCAATATTTTCTCAGACAAATCGTTTTTGGAATTGTTGGGGAGAAAACATTTTCCTTTTACCATTCTAGGTTCTTTGGCTGGGCTAATAATAACCTAAAATGGATTAACAGGAGAAAAACATTTAATTTCATCCATACAGGGAATATGAATATGAGATCCAAGGACAAGCGGGGCACTTGAGTGTTATATGCTATCCTGAACTAAGGAATGGGATGGGGGCCTGGGGCTTCAAAGGGGTAAAGGGTGATTCATAGGACAGTAAGAAGAGCAGATGTTTGGTAATTAGATGTTTGTCCTGCCACACAGGTAAGTCTTTCAGATAAAAAAAGTTATCTCTTAGTAATCATTCTCTTTCTGGGAAAGGCCTCCTATCTAGATTCTTTTACGTAGTTTAAAGGAGAGGAAAATTTTTCTTGAGTCTGCTGTGCCTCCATTGCCTTCTGCTAAAAATAGTCAACATGATAAAGTGACAAATGTTGGGGAGACTTGTTCTGCATCCCTTCAGACTCTTGTGTAGGTTCCTGTGAGTTTTAAAAGAGAATAGATGTATTAAATAACTATGAGCATTATAGAAGAGTGTATGGTTCTATAGATGTTAAAAATATAAGCGTAACTACCAAAATAATAATAACAATAATTAATAATAATAATGCAATCTCTAGGTCCCCAAAAAGCAAAAAGAAAGAAGGGCAGGATGAAAATGGCTTTCAGACTCCAACAGATGGCAAAGAAGGGGGGAGAAAAGATGATGGCAAACAGAAAATGAAATGGTAGCAATCATCCCAAATATATTGCTTACAATAAATATAAATGGATTTAATTCACATGTTAAAAGACAAAGACTATCAAATTGGATGGACAAAAAGACCCTCCTTTCATAAACATGCGTAGAACATAATGAACACATAAGGATGAAAATAAAGATTACAAGGAAAATAAACCAAAAAAACCCCCTGATGCAGCAATATTAACATTAGACAAAATAAAAATCAAGACAAAAAGCATTAAAAAAGAGCTTTTTATCATGATAAAAGGAATTGAATAATTGGTACTTTTATGAACCTACAGAAATAAAAAGAACTTGATAAAAACTCAAAAATGATACACATTTGGGAAGATTTTGACACATTTATTAAAAATTGATATATCCAGTGGCAATACACGTTACTTGAATACAATTAACAAGCTTGATCTAATATATAGAGAAACTTACACCCAAACAAATGGAGAATATTTTCAATACACTCAGTCTATTTTTCTAAAATGACTGCATACTTGGTCACAAGAAACATCAAACAGTTTCCAAGATTTAATATCATCTCTGTTCAAAAAGCAGTTAAATACTTAAATTAGTAATCAACAATAAAAGGATGGTTTAAAAATAGCAATAACATTTACTTGTAAACTAAAAAAAAAAGCATTAACAAATAGTTCATTAGTTTAAAGAGCACATTACGATGTCATGGGATGGAATATTCCAAACTAAAGGCAAAAAAACCACATGACAAAACTTGTAGGTCAAAGAGAAATGCATAGCCTGAAATTATTCTTAAAAAAGTAAAATTAAAAGCAAATAAGCTAAACTTTCAAGTCATGTAGCTAATAAAAGAATTACACAGTAACAAAGGTAAGGGGGAAAAGAATTCACATAATCCACAAAATAGAAAACAAAGAAATACAGGAAGAAAAACCACAAAATAAAAATTGGGTCTTAAAAAAAAAAGAGAGAAACCTCTAGCATGACTGATAAGAATGAAAAATAAACAATAAACGAATTAACAATGAAAAACAGGGCACAAATAGAGCCAGAGCATGATTTTATAAAACCCTAAGGGAACAAGATGAACAAGTTTATTACAAAACCAACAAAAGTCGATAAAATAGAAACATTTTTAGAAAAAAAAGTAATTTAAAAACAGAAAGCCATAAAAATGTATGTAATCAATCAATCAATCTATCTAATAAAGGGGATCGCCCTGCAAAACAAGCCAATCCAGATGGTTTAAAGGAGAGTTTTACCAAACACTTCCAACTCCTTTTAGGAAGCTGCTGTGAGCTCACTGCCAAATGCAGACGGGGACAGTAGGAGGAAAACTACAGGCCTATCTCGTTCCCTTAGATGTGAAAGCCTAAATAAAACATTAGTTGGTCACCTCTTCCGTCCACATTGTATTGGGGGTCATGGCCCGGACAAGGGAACCGTAGGCAGCTGTTAAAGCTCAAGAGGTGAGGGAGTGGGGGGTCTCAAGGCCGGCGACCCCTCACTCTTTCCTGCCTCATCTTCCTCCGCACCCTTCCCGCCTGGCAAATGCTGCTGAGCCTTCGAACACTTTGGCATCCATCACCTCCTGTCCCGCACCTTCACCTTCGCTCTTCGGTATTTCCTTTCTACCTCCTGCATATTTCTGTTTGCGAAAGAAGCTCGCGGCTTTGCGAGAATTTGTTTACCTGTGACCCCTACAAAAGCTAGCACGGAGTAGGGCTGCAAAGCAAGCCTGAGCAGCACTCTGCTCCGAAGGCTCCACAACGCCCCCAACCCCCCAACCCGATTTGTGCAAAAGGACAAACAACGCTGAGCCGCCATCGGGTCACCCAGCTATCGCGCCCCCGCCCCAAGCAGGGCCCGGGCGCCGACCGGCCGCTGCTTCCGTGTTTCTCCATCCGCGAGGATGCCTCAGCCCGAGCCCACTTCCTCTTCCCTCGCCCCGCGAGCCGCGCGCTCAGCCAGCCCTCGCGGACCCAGAGCCGCAGCAGGAAGCCCCGCGGCCCCGGCGCCCCGCCCGCGCACACGCCCCGCCCCGCCCCCCGCCCCTCCCCCGTCTCGGCCCCCGCCCCCGCCCCCGCCCCCGCTCCCGCTCCGCGCCGCCGGCCGAGCGGGGGCTGCCGGGCCAGGCCCGCCATGGAGGTGGAAGAGGCGTTCCAGGCGGTGGGGGAGATGGGCATCTACCAGATGTACTTGTGCTTCCTGCTGGCCGTGCTGCTGCAGGTGAGTCCCCCGCCGCCCCCCGCTCCCGCGCCCTGCTTCCCCGCCTCCCGCGGACCCTTCCCGCCCCCCCCGGTCCCCCCCCCCCCGCCGCCGCGAAGCCCGGCCAGCCGCCGAGTCTCCGCAAACCCCGAGGGGCCGCGAGCCCCCAGCCCCGCGCGAGGGCCGGCCTGGGTGGGCCGCAGCACGCCGAGGTCGCCGGCGGGCCTGGCCTGCGGTGCCCGCCCAAGCCTCAGGGCCTGCCCCTTTGGGCGGTTCCCCCAGGCCCACCCACCCCGCCACCTCGAGTGGGAGAGGGAGTGGGAGAAGGGGGGGGTGTACTTCAGCCCTTGAGCTGGTGAATAAATGATGCCCAGTCCCGCGGTTACCTGGACTACACCGTGAAAGCACCAGGGAGTTGTTTCTCACCTGTGGCTACGTCACCTTGGAATCTGGAGCCCAGAGAGAGCCCTGATCGCCAGCTCACGAAAGGTCCGATCTGGAGCGGCCTCCTGCAGTTCTGGGCCTCCGCTTACCATCTTTTCCCGATTCGAGGGGCCTTCCTGGGCCGGATGCTTTCCGTGCAGAGGCTTTATTTCTCTCCGATTGAAGTTCTGCTGGGTCATTTCTGCCCAGAGGCCAGCGTCGGGCGGAGACTTGTATAAGTTGAATAATACCATCTACGACGTGTGGTTATACACTAGAATCGTTTCTTCCTTGTGCAGAACTCTCAAACTGCTTGCCCACCCAGCCTAAAAATGTGGATTTAGTATGCTCAAGGTCACTATAGATACACTTTGCCAGGCAAGAGTTACTCCTTTGCCCTTCTGAATGGCCCATTTGACATCAATTACTGCTCCCAATATTCTAAAGGCGGTTCATTCACAAATTCTTTATTAGTATTTACTGTGAGTGGGTCATTGTACTACTTCAGTCAACACATTTTTAGTGAGTGCCTACTATGTGCTTGGCAGGGGCTACAGTGGTGGAAAAATCAAAGCCCCTTTCCGGTGAAGTTTGCCTTCTAGTGGGGGTGGGGTGAGGCAGGCAGACAGGTAAATAAGGACAGTGACCATGACCATGTGATGATAATTATCCTAAGGAAAGTACAGGGAAGTCCTGAGTCTAACCACCACTCCGCCAGTTGCTTAAACCTGGCATAATGCAGCTGCTCAGCCGGCAGAAAGGGGTGTGGGGGAAGGTAGGGGTTGTCTTACTGATTCTGTTTTCCATTAAAATGTTTGCAAGTTCAGTTGATTATATCACCAGCCAGAAGAGCTGTTGAAATGATGGACAGATAGATGATGTCAGTCCTTTTTCTGGCAAAGCAAGTTCTCAGTACACAAATAGGCAGTATTCTGAGGTTCCTTTAAGTTCGTTCTTTCAGCTTTAAATGTAATTTTCCTGTGGAGGAAAAAGTATTTCCTAAATCACAAAAGAGTATTTAATACAGAGAAAATAGAATTGTGTCCATGTTGCCTGATGTTCATTTATAATACTTTTTCTTTGAGAAAATTCTTTTTCTTTCCTGGTCTAACCAAGAATTCCAGGCACGTGACTCCTCTTCTGAAAAATGCCACCCTGCCCTCCCCCCCGCCCCTATACTCCACCTGCTGTCATCTGCTTGCAGGCCTAGCCAGGTATCCACCCACAGAGGAGAAGTTTATCTTGAGGGTGTGCAGCACTAAAAAGCCCACTGATCTGGGTTCAGGACCTGTTGTTTCCCTCACTTAACTTTTCTTTATGGCTGACCCCGCTGGTTAGAGTTTAGTACCAAAGAGCTCTCAGCCTGGGACCATGACTGTTGACTGATGCCTGCCTGACATGTGGTCAGTATTTGCCATCAAAGAACCAGGTCTTAAGAGTGTTGGGAATGAGTGACTTTATCTTTAGGTGTGGGCTGGGAGGTGCCTGTGCAGTGGGAGCCCTGGGAGCTCCATTACACTGTTGTAACACGACACTTCCATCATCTTGTGGGGTTTGCTTTTCCAACAGAGGAAAAAGTTAAGAAGCCCTTTTCAGAATAGGCTTAGATGGGAGGTTGTTTGCTTTAAAACCCGAAGCCCTGGGGTGCCTGACTGGCTCAGTTGGTGGAATGTTGATCTTGGTGTTGTTTGAGCCCCATGTTGGGTGTCGAGATGACTTCAAAAAATAAAATCTCAAGAAAAAATAAATAAAAATAAAAACCAAAGCCCTGGTCTCCCGTTGCCCAAGGAACGTAGAGACCACCTGCGCAGCAGCCCTGCCAGGGAGAGGGAGCCCTGCCAGAGAGCACTGCACATTGTGAATGGGACTGCCAGGGAGAGGGACAGCCAGACAGGGAGCCTCTGCTACGGCAGGAGCCTTTTCTGCATCTGCGGTTTGGTAATGGCCATCCCCAGCTGAGAAACACAGCACTAGGGGGACAGAGATAGGAAGTTTATATCCTTTTGCGTTTTCTTTCTTCTTGGGGCCATTAGTATTATTTCTAATGGTTTTTACTCCCTCTTCGAACACATCCAAGTTCAAACTGAAAGGACAAAACCACATTACAAAACCAACTCTCAGGGTCTTTAGGTTAACTGTTTTCTTGGATTATTGATATCATCACGTAGCTCATCAAAAAGCTACCTCAACATCCAGTTTCCTTTAGCTAGGAGACTTCACACGCTTTGCAAACACAATCTTTGGAATCTCTATAGTGGTCACCTTTCAGGTATGGAAAGAACAGATGCAGATTTTGTAAATTTCTCTTCACATGATAAGATACAGATGCCCCTCATAATAGTGCTATGTGGTTTGAAAGTACATAAGCCAAAAGCTTAAAGGAAAAAAATATTTGCCTTATGTAAAAATAGTTGTCTTATGAACAAGCAGTAATATTTCATTTTGCAGTTAGAGAAATTCTTACTCTCCAGGTATATGTGCTCTCCCTTGGGTAAGAGCTATTTGTGGTATGTAAATATGAATAATTCTGTGTACTTTATTTCTGTTTCTATTTCCTGACAGTGATTCAGACTTGACGCCATCGTCATTATTTGGTGTTTGCATCTGTGTATGTTTGTTGGCCAGGCTGTCTGGAGGAGGAGTGTTGGAATACAAGTCTTTGTTTTTGGATCCCTTTAGACACAAAGTGAAAATGGATCCTACTTCTTTGTTCTAAGCCATAGACTCCAGCTCCTTCATTTTCCTGGGGATCACGGATCACAGATTGTAGTATAATTTGCACAGGATTTAAAACATCCATTAGCCAATGTGTAACCTGTAACAAGCATTAGTTTCACCAGCAAAACTGTGATGACATTGTGGGCCCGAGCTTGAGGTACGGTCCTCTGGTGTTCTGGAATGCATTATTTTAATGTAAACTCTTAATAACCCCGACTTTATTTATCAGCTCCTAGAACTACCAGTGCATTCAAATCATTCACGCAATAAATGTCTTTTCGTGGTGCCTTGGAAAGTGGAATGACTGACCAGGCAGTGTTGCAGAAGAGGAAAGTGCATCAGTCAACTCATGAAAAGATGTTTACCTTCAGTGGTCATTTGGGACAGGCGTATTAAAATGACTATGAAATATCATTTCACACTTATTAGATTAGCAAACATTAAATGGTCTAACGTACAGGTGTGATGAAAATGAGACGTGGGAGATACCGGTTTAGAAAACTATGTGGCCCTGTCTAGTACAATTAAAACCTAGCATTGGACTCCTAGGTGTGTGTCCTCCCAATTCCTCTTGAACATGTGCACGAGGAGGTATGTCTAGGATGTTTATTGCAGCACTGTTTGTAATAATAAAAATGAGTAGCCACCTAAATGACTCGTAAAGAGGGACCAGATAATTAAAATGCGGTACAAATTTGATAGAATATAACAGTTGAAGTGCTGGACCGGATCTATAAACAGCTACAGGAATGAAGTTCTAAAACACAATGTTAAATGAAAAAAATAGCCAGCATGATGTATACAGTGTGACACATAACTTCAGAAAAATTTGTAAAAAGTGGGGCGCCTGGGTGGCTCAGTCGGTTAAGCGTCTGCCTTCGGCTCAGGTCATGATCCCGGGGTCCTGGGATCGAGCCCCGCATCGGGCTCCCTGCTCGGCGGGGAGCCTGCTTCTCCCTCTCCCCCCACCGACCCCCTGCTTGTGCTCCTGCTCTTGCTGTCTCTCTGTCTGTCAAATAAATAAATAAAATCTTTAAAAAAAATTTGTGAAAACAGGAAACAATACCATATTTGGCTTATGAATATGGACAATGTAAAAGTATAAACATAAAGAGTAGAAGGCTCCACACCCAATTTAGGAGATTGATTACCTCCAGGGGGTGAAGGGATGAGTGGGCAAGGGAGGGCTACAAAAGGAGATTTGCTCTGTATTCATAATACTGTAGTTTTGAAATCTGAAGCAAATATAATAAAATGAAACTAGTTAGTTGTGATGGTGGGTTCATGAATTTTGTTTTGCTTCTCTGTGTTAAATTTTGAAAAAAATACAAATGTGGTGTAGATAAGATGGGCGTACTTAGAAGAAAATGCTACAGTTCACTGTATGAGACTAACCGTCCACTTTCCCTATTGCTGCTGTTCCTTCAACCAGTTAGCGCTGTGAGTCGTGGTCTGTGAAGTTAACATTTAGGAGCGTGAGGTAGAGGGAGTTTTGCTCAGGGTGCTTTTTTAAACTCTGTATAGAACACTGTCACAACGAACGTCTCCCACCTGCTTGCATTTGCCTCCATGTCTTAATCTCCCCAGGAGATTCATGGAAAGGCTTCTTTTGGTGAGGTATCTCTGAGGTGGTTCTAACCTCTCAACCATCAGCAAGTAATGAAGTTCCTACCGTACGTATTAGTGAAGACCTCACTGGGTTAGTCGTTAAGACCAGCCCTTGTGCCTCAGGGGCTTGTCACCACCACCAGGGGTTCAGGCATGATGAGAACATAGGGCATTAGTAAGAGCTACTCTGTCACGACTCCAGAACACAGGAGCATCTACCAGCGTTCTCTGCTCGTTTGAGCAAGTGTTATGCTGCCTTAGTAACCCTCAGA